GCGCGGTCCACATGGCGGCGCCGCGCCATGTGGGCGCAGACTTGACACGGTCCGTGGCATCACATGGAGTTCGAGGGGGGGCCCAGCGGCAGGGCCCACATGGCGGCGCCGCCTTGTTTAAGCGCACGCATCATCACGGTTCGTGGCCCCGCAGGGAGTTCCACCGAAGACTCCAGTGGCAAGGTCCACATGGCGGCGCCGCTCCAGTTGGGCGTGCACTTCACACGCGGAAGTGGCGTTGCGACGCGCGGAGGTGGCATTGCCACCCCGCCTCCGCCGGAAACAATGTTAACAAATCGTGCGGCCAACAGCTCCGCTGACGGTGTTAACAAATCGTGTAGCGCCCAGTCTGTTCCAGACCAACAAATTCTTGACGCTTCGCGTATCCCCAACAGCCCATGCAGTAACGATGCCCAGGCGAATGGGGGTGATCAGGGAAGTGGGGGGCATACAGAATAACACAAGGCTGGGGAACCCGTCTTACCCAAGACGGCGAGGATGGAGGATGAATCGGAGGACGATGAGGAGGAGGAACTCAAGGAGGAAAAGGGGGAGCGGGAGGAGGGTAGAGGGAGGAAGAGCAATAGGCGGATGAGGAGGAGGAGGAGGAGGAGCAGGAGCAGGACGAGAATGAAAAGGAGGACGAGGAGAAGGGCGAGCAGAATGGCCAGAGGCCTCTTGGATGCCTCTCGGAGTCTCTTCGGGGGTCTCTTGGGGGCGTCCTGAAGGCCTCTTAGGGCGTCTTGGGAGCGTCTCGGCGGTCCCGGAGGCCTCTTGGGGCGTCTTGGGTGCCAGCCTCTCGGGGACCTCTTGGGGCCATGTTGGGGCCATCTTGGGGCCATCTTGGGGCCATCTTGGCGCCTTTTGGGGCCTCCTTGGCGCTTCTTAGGGCCATCTTGGAGGCGATCGATCAAAGAAGAGAGTGGGGTTAATTAGGCCTGCCCCTCTAGATCCTCTAAAATCGCCTCTTGGGCTCATCTCGAGGCGCTCTTGGAGCGCTCTTGGGCGCTCTTGGGGCCGTCTTGAGGCCATCTTGGGCCCCTCTTGGGGCTATCTTGGGCCCTCTTGGAGCCATCTTGAGGCCTCGGAAGGCCATCGGAAGCGAAAGGGTGAGAAAGCAACACGCATTGATGTTCCTTCGGTTTTTGAAGGATTTTGGCCTCTTGGAGGCCTCCTGGGGGACCTAGCTGGCCTCTCGGAGCCGTCCTGGGGCGGTTTTCGGGCCTGCTGGAGCATCTTCGGAGCCGTCTTGAGGCATCTGAGGCTAGCTTCTTGAGCAATCTTGGAGCTCATATTGGGCTCCCCGGGGCGCTTTTGGAGCCATCTTGGGCCATCTTGGACGCTCCAACTACCAGCGAAACCTCCCGTCCAGGTCCAGTGGAGGGGGGAGGGGGAGGGGTAAACCCTTCCCCCAAGGGGAAGAAAGGGGGTTGGAAGAGGAAACTCCCAAAACCACCTACGCCCAGAGGGCTGGTGGGACTGCGCGGCGCCCAGGTTGTTACCACATCGCGCGGCGCCCAGGTGTTCGCACATCGTTTCGCGCCCAGGGTGTTAACAAATCGTGCCGCCAAAAACCCCGCAGACGGTGTTAACAAATCCTCTGGCCAAGAACACCGCAGACAGTCTTCACAAATCGTGCGCCGCCCCGCATGCGGTCTTCACAAATCGTGCGGCTGCAAACCCAGCGCGCGGTTCGTGGACCCACAGGGGGGTCCGCCGAAGGCCCCAGTAGCATCGTCCACATGGCGGCGCCACGTCGCATGGACGCACCCCTCGCACGGTCCGCGGCCCCACATGGAGCCCCCAGTTGTATATGGTTGGGTTTTTTCGCCAGGCTACGTTGTTTTTTTTTTTTTGGTTTGGTGGCTGGGCGTTTCTTATCTGCGTTGTTGGGTTAGCCTGGTGGCAAGGGGCCCAGGGAAACAATTGTTAGGAACAGTTGAGGTTCCGCAGTGTTGCGGCGGATGATGAAGGCAACCTGCGGCATGACATTCGAGACATCAGAACCGCGATTCAATTGTCCAGGAAACTCGTTTTGGACAGTTGCGTTTTCACATCAGTTTTTTGTTGCTGACATGTGGTAGACGCATGGTTTCGGACAGTTGAGGTTTGATAAAATGTCACTGGGTGCATTGGTGCACATGCTAATTTGCACACTGGCCCCGCATTGTCCCAGGTTTTGTGCTTGATAAGGGGGGCATCGTGGCGCGTCCTCGCTTGGCCCTGCGTTCGTTTTCCGTCATTTTGAGGCCGTTCGAGGCCGTCATATGGGCCCCGTCGAGGACCTCGCTGGAAGTTTTTTTGGGCGCTCGGAGAAATCTCGCGGCCCATCCGAAAATGCGGAAAACAAACGCGACCGATTTTTCAAACGTGGACACAAACGATGAAACATGCATGGCGTCAGCTTCTGTGGACCAGCGCGGGGGCCGCCCTTGCGGAGCTCTTGGGCCGCCTGGGCGGCCGCGGGTTGAGTGCTTTTCCTGTTCGCGGACTCCTTTCGAGACCGCCTGTGGGCGTCGTTTGATAATCTATGATGATTTATGGGCCGTCTTGGGGCCCTCTCCGACAATCGGGCGGTCTTCTGAGGGGTCGTTGGCCGTCTCGGAGTGGTCTTTGGGGACCTCGAAGGCCGCCCTGGGGCGCCAGGGAGCCCGAAAGGTGCGGACCTCCACATCTTGAGTATAATCAAGGATAGATCAATAGTATTTGTCTTTCGGTGCTGTGGTGGGGGCCCTCGGATATCCTTGCGCGCGTTTGCGCCGCCTCGCGCGTCCTTCGTGGGTCTTGTCGGTGCGGAATCAAAGGATTAGCTGGTCGCGGCGCGCCTTCTGGGATCCCCAAGGGGCCGTCGCGATGTCTTCCTGCGCCGCCGCGGGCGCCTCGCGGGCCGCCTCGGGGCCACGCGCGGCCGTCTCGGGGCCCGCTTTGGAACCTGTCGGGCAGCGTAGGGCCAACATTGGATTGGAACGCGCGGGGGTTGAAACGATCAAACAGATGGTTGTTGAGACGGGGCGGCTGTTGTGTCACTTATGCACGGCCGTGGCCTCGATGACACTAACCAGACGCATTGCGCGCGCCAAACGGGGTGCGATTGCATATCCTGTCGAACTGCAAGTACGTCATACGCCTTAGAGAACGTTGGAAATAATCCCAAATGGAAGCGCGAAGCGTTTTCACGCGCCTCTGCGTGCGAAAGCATGGTGGCGGCCTTCCTTTCCTTCCCCTCCGACCCCCTTCCCCCCCTCGCCGCGCTCTACTCTGCGTCCCCCCGCTGCGCCTCCGGCCCCCGCCCCGCCAAACCCTCCGCTCCTGCCCCCCCCCGCCGCCCCCGGCGCCCCCCCCCTCTGTTGCAAGTTTGGATCCGACCATTCTGGCTCAAGTATTCTGGCTCCACAGAACCCTCTGCGTCGACGTCGTCTCCGCGGTGGGTCGACGCCCAGTGCGCAGGCTGCGCTGGCGCGCGCTGGCGGCCCTTCGGAACGCGCGCAGGCCCGCGGGGGCGCGCTCCCGCCTTTGCGGCGTGCGCGCGTGCGCGCGCGAGCGGGCTTTCAATCCCTTCGTTGTGCGTCGCGTCTTGCGCTAATCTGCGCGGTGCGGACGCGCGCGGTCGACTGCGCCGCTTCTTGCGCCGTGCGGCGACGAGGGGATGTGTTTTTTGTTGTCGCCGCCGTTCGAGGCGCCCATCAATTCCTGGCCGCTGCTCTTGAGTTCTGACCGTTCCCAGCGAGGGTGCCCAGCCTCATAGCTGACTGTTGGCGGTCGCGCTTCGACGCGCGATGCGTTTTTAGCGCGCCCTGAAAACCAGCGCCCGCTGCAATCCGATTCCATACATCGCTGGTTTTTTTTCCAGCTTGGGTTTGCGTTCGCGCCTTGCCGTGCGCGGGCGGCCCTACTCGCGTGATCGCGTCGCTTTGGATGCGCGGCGCGGTTTTCATTATGGTTTTGCGACCCCAAGAACTTTCAGAAGTGCGCCTGGCGACTTGCAAATTTGCACAGCCAGTTGCCATCGCGCCGCGACTTCTGGCGATGCCATCGCCCTCGAACGTGCGCGCTCGCACGTGCGAGCCACTGGTTGTGGGTTAGCGCGCGCAGGCACGCGCGTCGCGTTGGCTTGTGCAGTTTGCGTTCATCATGCGGTTGCGCGGTGTAGTGCCGCGTGGGGTTCGCGCGTGGTTGCGCGACCTCCAATGTGTCATTGAACGTAATGGCGCCTTTGATGTCGCTGTCGCAATGACACTTGCTCCAAGGTGTTTGTTCGATGTATCACCGCTGCCGCTGTCATTGGCGCAGCGGTTCCTCATCGCAACGTCGCGATTGGCAGGCAATTCGGTCCGCGCCCTTTCGCGCCAAACGCTGTGATCGTGGTGCCCATCGGGGCTTCAGTCTGCAGCGAGGAGCATCGCGCGGGCGCTCGCGTTCTCGCGTTCAGTCAGCCGCGATTGGTCCAACGCTATACCGAGCATTTTGCGATTGAGCGTTTAATTTTTTGAATTGCGTTTTGTCGTCAAAAGCTTCGCCAGTAGAATGGCACCACTGATGGATCGGGAGGAGGCGGTGTAGGAGAAGGAGGAGGAGAGGGACGAGGGGGAGGAGGATGAGGAGTTCCTACTCTGACTGCCCTCCCCCACCTCCCTCCCACAACGTGCCTTGCCCTCCTCCTACGCCAGGTGATCCCGAGCAACATGAACATGCTGAAACAGGAGATCCGCTCGTCGAATATGGCGATGGCCGAGGGAGATCCGACGCTCTGCCGAGTGCCGCCACCCCCCCCCCATGCAGCCTCGACGACGTTGGGGCCGTCGATGTCCTGGCCCAGGGGATGCGGGTAGACGGGGCGCTGAAGGGGAGCGCGGCAGGCAAGCAGCAGGAGGAGGAGCCTGGGGATGATGATGACGATGACGATGACGATGATGACGTTGTTGTTGTCGTTGACGACGACGACGACGGAGAAGACGACGATAATGATGATGATACGCCTGGAGCCTGCGAACGCAGGCTAGCGGACATGTCGGGGGTGTTCGTCTTCCATTTCAATCCCGATCATTTCGGCGAGTCAGTCACCAGCCCGCACCTGCGATCCCCTCCATTCCAAGAGAAACCATACAGGCGCATTGTCCAGGCGGTTCTGGAAGCTCGCGCAGGGGAGGGCAACAAGGCGTCCTTGAACGACGGCGAGGTGGTATTCTTGATGGACGGGGGTAAGCCTGGCATCACCAAGGCCCTGCTTGCACCGTGGAAGGTTGGTTCGATCCTCGAGAAATCTGAGAAGAAGGCCCCCGACGATGATGAGGCCGTCGTGGTTGATGATCATGATGAGGACGACGAGGAGGCCGTCCGCTTCGTATCCAGGGGGATCACGGTCCACAAGGACGAGGCCAGCATGAAGGAGCGCAAGAAGCTTACGCGCGGAGTGGCCTGCGTCAAGCAGACGAGCCAGTTGCACATTTGCTCGGCCGCCCCCTTGCAGCTGCCGCCGCGTGCTTCGAAGCACTACCCATCATCGGGCACCAATCAGGGCGCGATCATCGGCCCCGTCGTGCTGCCCGTGCCCAGCGAGGAGTGGCAGGCCACCTTCGCAACCAAGTAATGCATCTACGGCAAGGACTACCGGATCGCCGTGGGCGGCAAGGTCGCCGGCCAGGGCGAGGGCAAGAAGCGCGAGAACGACGACTGGGAGATGGTCTTCATGAACGCGATGCCGCCGAAGTTCTTCTCGGAGCTGAATCACAGGCACTTCGCGTCCCACGCGTTCGACATCTCGCCCGGCCCGGGCGCGTACGGCGAGGAGTGCATCCACGAGGGCATCACCTACTTCTGCCTGGCTTTCACTGAGCTGCACGCCGAGGCCTCGGATTGAGATGATGGTGATGATAGGGCATGAGGATGATGAAGGAGGAGGATGGGACGGAGGAGGGGGATGAGGGGGAGGGGGATGGGCCAGGAAACGAGGTGACGGGCAAGGGGATTCCCCCACTCCTCCTTCCCTGACTTCTCACTCCACCCTCTTCCCACTAATCCTTCATTCCCCTGTCTCCTATGCTTCCTCTTCTCGTTCCTCGTCTTCATCCCCCTCCTCCTCCTCCTCCTCCTCCTCCTCCTCCTCCCCCCCCTCCTCTTCCTCCTGCAATTCCCCTCGTCGAGGCTCTCCAGGACCGCTTCAAGATGGCCGCCCTCCGCTGCGTGGTCAATGAGCAGTGCCACCTGCACTACGACCCTAAGGTTCGAGGGCAGGACCCCAGGAGGGTGAGGCGGAGGAGCAGCAGCAGGAGGATGAGGAATACGGGGGAGTAGGAGGGGAGCAGGGAGCGATAAGGAAAGGGAGGATGCGGGATAGGATGCAGAGCGCGGTGGTTGAGGAAAGGCATCGAGCTTCACCTCCCTCCTCTTTCCCATCTCTCCTCTCCTCCTTCTCCCTCCCCCCTCCCTCCCCCTCCCTCCGACCCCTTCCCCTCTCCTTCCCTCCCCCTCTTCCTCCTCCTCCCCCCCTCCTCATCATCCCTTCCTCCTCCTTCTCTCGAGGCTGCCGCCTTCTTCAACGGGCAGGCGCCGGGCGCCAGCGTCGCCGACGCCGAGGCCGCCGCCAAGGCCGCCGCGCTCAAGGCCAGGGCAGAGAAGGCGGCTGCCACCCGGAAGGCCAGGGCGGAGGCAAAGAAGGCAGCCGCCGGCGCAGGGGACGGCGACGGGGGGGACCTGGCTGAGCCGAAGCCCAAGAGGGCCAAGAAGGGTGAGGATGCTGCAGACGACGCCGGGCTGGACAGCGATCATCCCAGCGAGGAGTCCTGGAACTTGTCTAATGCCGACGGTGACAAGTGAGTAATCGAGCTACTAGCCCCCACGTGTTGCTTGCGTTTGGCTGCTCGGCCATCGGCGCCCAGGTTGCGGTTTTCCTGGGCAGAGGTGGCTTTGCTGTGCAAAGCTTAGGCCCTACTGTTAGGGGCCTCGTGCTGAGGCCGATCATGGTCAGACGCGGTGCTTGCCTCGCTCCACTCCCCATGGAACCCCAGAAGACCAAGAACCCATGAACCCCCGCCCGCTCCAACCCCACCTGCCGCTCTCCCTGGCCCAGCCTGGGCGCCCACCGCCCCGCCGGTCCAGCCCCGCGTCGGAAGTCTGCCAGTCGGTTGATGGCAGAAGCCTACTCGTCCACTCTCGTTTGCCAAGGAGGCCGCAGCACCAAGTAGGTACCTAGGAGCTCTTGAGCAAATCAAAAACCATAAATATTGCAACGTACATAGTCGCCTGCCCGCGACGCCGCGCCAGCAGCAGGGGCAAGTCTTGATTGATGTATAGTGCCCACGACGCTGCCAGGCTGCAGACGACGTTAAGAGATGATGCCTGCACCATCGCCATGGTCTCGTCATCACCCTCATCATCATCCCCATCACCCCCTCTCCTCCTGCTCACGGCTGGCGGCGGCGGTCCTCGTCGAGGCGGGCTCGTCGAGGTCGCCGGGCCGAGCGAAGCCAGAGCCCGAAGCCGACCGAGGCCGAGGCCGGCCGAGGGACAGGGCGCGGAGGAAGAGAAGGAGGAGGAGGAGGAGGAGGAGGAGGAGGAGGAGGAGGAGGCAGAGGAGGAGGATTAGGTTTTCAGGGTTTTTTCGTTGGCGTTTGGAGCCAGGCTCAGGCCCCCCGTCCTGTGTCGCCGCAGCTGGACGCAGATCGGAATGACTTCGTGCGCGCGGCACGCGATGGAAGGTTTCGTTCGCACTGGGTGGGAGCTGTGGCGGCGCTTCGCGCATGCACTCAGTATCGCAAAGTGCGGTTACCGTTCCGGAGCTTCTGCGGTGCGAGGGTGTGGGATATCTACACATACTAGCACGCCCATGTACTGCATGAGCGCAAGTAATGCAACGCGAACAACTCCCCTACTATGATATGCCATGGCTGTGCTATGCACTGCTACGCTATGCTATGCTATACTTTGCCACGATATGCCATGCTATTCTGTGCTATATGCTATATGCTATGCTCTGTCATGCTTCCCGGAGCAACTTTCGCACCGCTCGTCTTACGTTGTCGGCTGTCTCTCGTCCGCTGGCTGTGGCAGACCACCAGGCCACTTGCTAAGCGCCAGTGAGCCGGGGCCCGTTTTGTGGGGATGTCTCAAGCGAGGGCGCCGGTTTGGGATTCGTCCGCGGATCCGCCGGATCTGTCCGGAAACGGTGCCGGAGGCCGCTCTGGGCTCCTGTGGGCACCTCCCCCGGGGCCCGTTTTGTGGGGATGTTTCAAGCGAGGGCGCCGGTTTGGGATTCGTCCTCCCCCGGGGCCCGTTTTGTGGGGATGTCTCAAGCGAGGGCGCCGGTTTGGGATTCGTCCGCGGATCCGCCGGATCTGTCCGGAAACGGTGCCGGAGGCCGCTCTGGGCTCCTGTGGGCACCTCCCCCGGGGCCCGTTTTGTGGGGATGTCTCAAGCGAGGGCGCCGGTTTGGGATTCGTCCGCGGATCCGCCGGATCTGTCCGGAAACGGTGCCGGAGGCCGCTCTGGGCTCCTGTGGGCACCTCCCCCGGGGCCCGTTTTGTGGGGATGTCTCAAGCGAGGGCGCCGGTTTGGGATTCGTCCGCGGATCCGCCGGATCTGTCCGGAAACGGTGCCGGAGGCCGCTCTGGGCTCCTCTGGGCACCTCCCCCGGGGCCGGTTTTGTGAGGATGTCTCAAGCGAGGGCGCCGGTTTGGGATTCGTCCCGCGGATCCGCCTCTGTCCGGAAACGGTGCCGGAGGCCGCTCTGGGCTCCTCTGGGCACCTCCCCCGGGGCCGGTTTTGTGGGGATGTCTCAAGCGAGGGCGCCGGTTTGGGATTCGTCCGCGGATCCGCCGGATCTGTCCGGAAACGGTGCCGGAGGCCGCTCTGGGCTCCTGTGGGCACCTCCCCGGGGGCCCGTTTTGTGGGGATGTCTCAAGCGAGGGCGCCGGTTTGGGATTCGTCCGCGGATCCGCCGGATCTGTCCGGAAACGGTGCCGGAGGCCGCTCTGGGCTCCTGTGGGCACCTCCCCCGGGGCCCGTTTTGTGGGGATGTCTCAAGCGAGGGCGCCGGTTTGGGATTCGTCCGCGGATCCGCCGGATCTGTCCGGAAACGGTGCCGGAGGCCGTTCTGGGCTCCTGTGGACACTTCCCCCGGGGCCCGTTTTGTGGGGATGTCTCAAGCGAGGGCGCCGGTTTGGGATTCGTCCGCGGATCCGCCGGATCTGTCCGGAAACGGTGCCGGAGGCCGCTCTGGGCTCGTGCTCTTCGCGCCGGGGGTGAGGATGACATGAGTTCCACAGAAACTCCCTCAAATAAACATATGTGTATAAATGATTCGGGCAAAAAACGTTTGGCGCAAAACCTGTCGAAGGAAAGGCGTGGCGCGGTGGGGGGAGTGGGGTTCAGATGTGGACGGGGGATGCGAGGGGGCATCGAACTCACCTTTCCTGTTTCTTCCTTATTCTTTCCGCTCCCTCATCTTCATTCCTCGTCCATCCTCACTCCCCCTCCCCATCCCTCCTCCTCCCTCCTCCTTCCTTGTTCCTTGTCCTTCCTCCGCGCCTTCGTCTTCTCCCCGTCTTCCTCCCTCGCCCTCTCTACCTCTTTCCTCCTCCTCATCTCCCCCCCATCCTCCATCGACTCCCTCTCCTCTCCAGTGGCAACATGTAGACATGTAGATATGTTGGGGGGGGCTCCCAAGATCGATCGTTGCTTCTTTATTGAAAAGAGGGTACATTTTGAGATCCCTTTCAATAAGTTAGTTATCTTTCACAGGCGCAATATGCAGAGACCATCACCATCAGCATCATCCGTCTCCTGCGCCCTCACCCTCATCAGCCTGAATCGCCGCACCCCAGTATCTCTAGTACTCTGACAACATTTGCGGTTACTACCACTACTGCTGATAGTACTCACTCTACAGAGACCAACAAACACACCAAAACAAGACAAACGCCGACTGTCGAAGAAGAAGCGCAGCGAAGGGCTGGCGGAGCAGGGCTGGAGGGCGCGAAGAAAAAATCGTCGGGGGGGGGGGAGTCGGAGTCGCCCCCTTCTCTTCCTCCTTCATTCATTCCTTTTCACCATGCATTATGTCATCCTTCATTCTCCTTCCCCATCACCCACCCACCCCCCCACGCGCGAGGCGCGATTATCTTCGCGCCCCCGTGCACCGCCCCGTCCTCTTCCCGTCCATTCAGATTCCCTCCACATCCCCTCTTTCCCCTTCCCCCCATCGCCCCCCTTCCCCCCTTCCTTCCCCTACTCCGTCCCCGCCACGCATCGCCTCCAGATGTATGTATACATGCGTGCACGTACGCACGCGCGCGTCACACAGTACATACATACACACATATATATATACTATACTATACTATACTATACTATATATCGCGCGTGGCCAATCACACGACATGTCGCCGCTTGGGCCCCGCGGCCAATCCAAACGGCGAGCATACATCGGGCGTAGCCCCGCACGCAATTCGAAGTCCAACCAGTCTGGGCCACATCGGTAGTCCTATTGGTTGCGCCATAGGTTGCGCCCTCGGCCGCCGAGAATGGAACGTCCTCCCATTGGTTGCGCCATAGGTTGCGCCCTCGGCCGCCGAGAATAAAACGTCCTCCCATTGGTTGCGCCATAGGTTGCGCCCTCGGCCATAGGTTGCGCCCTCGGCCGCCGAGAGTAAAACGACTTCTTTTTGGTTGCGCCATAGGTTGCGCCCTCGGCCGCCGAGAATAAAACGTCTCCCTAACTTTATTGGTTGCGCCCTCGGCCGCCGAGAGTAAAACGTCCTCCCATTGGTTGCGCCATAGGTTGCGCCCTCGGCCGCCGAGAATGGAACGTCCTCCCATTGGTTGCGCCATTGGTTGCGCCATCGGCCGTCG